CGGTTCACTGTGGCAATCCCAGATTAATAAAGGGACAAAGCCAAAAAGAAAATGAATGAATGAAAGAAAATACTACAAATACATAATCAGCATGTTGGTTAAGAGTTGGAAAATGCAGCTGGTTTATCCAGGCGGGACTCAAACCAGCAACCCTCTAGCTGTGAGGCAATTGTGCTAATCACTTAGCCACCATGCTGGGTTGCAGCAGGAAGGCTATCTATGTATATATATGAAACATATGCGAGAGTATCTGGTGGTTCATTCCGCTGTGGCGACCCCTGTTGTGTTTTATTAACATCTACATCTATACCACAACCCTAAACCTGCTCCTTACAGTAACCTGGTGCGTTTTATTATTGTTTACATCTATACCATGATCCTAAACCTACCCGTTACAGTAACCTGTTGTTTTGTTATTCTTAACATCTATACCATGACCTTAAACGTGCCCCTTATAGTAAACTGCTGTTTTATTAACGTCTACATCTATACCACAACCCTAAACCTGCCCCAACCTGTGGGGGTATTACTGTTAACATCTATACCACAACCCTAAACCTGCCCTTTACAGTAACCTGTTGCTTTATTATTGTTTAAATCTATACCATGAACCTAAACCTGCCCCTTACAGTAACATGTTGTGTTTTATAAACATCTACATCTATACCACAACCCTAAACCTGCCCCTTAAAGTAACCTGTTGTTTTATTTTGTCTACATGTGTACCATGACCTTAAAGAGCCCATATTATGGGTTTTTGAAAATTCCCCTCCATGTAGTGTGTAACACAGCTCTAAGTGAAGTGAAGTATCCAGCTAAGGCTTAAATCTGTAAGAATACAGTGTTTAAAACGGTTGATTCATCTATAAAAGATTCGACTCATAGTGCTTCAAACGAGTCGCCTTGATACCGATTCATTAGGTGTTTCGCCATGACGTACGAACGAAACCAAGTTATTCACGTGCACGCGCAAACCCGGGAGATTTCAAACCTGAGGCCCCACCTCTGACGCAGAAACCCAGACACACACACACACACACACACACACACACACACACACACACACACAAACATGCCGGTCGATTGAAGTCACACTGAAGATGGATATTATATTGAGTCTCTACCCAAAGATGAAACATAGCACAGCATTATAGCCAAGCAGTTGGAAACTACTGGAAACTACATGCTACACAGAATACTTCATCAGCGTTTGTTAAAGGAAGGATCAGTAAAGAGTAACTTACTGATGGACGTCAGGATGGGTTTCTTCCTCCCTTTCTCAAGTGTAAGTACGTGCGGTTAAAGTTGTTGCCTCGTTGACTCTAGCTTGCAAATGTATTTGTATTTGTGATTTGATACTTGTAACCGCGTGTACTGTATCCGGTTAACTGGCTATATTCTCTTATCGCGTGCAAAGTCACATTAAAAACTCGACGCGTGCTGCTTTGTTTATGGAGCTCCGTGCTAGAGTTCTGCATTCCCGCGGCTGTCCCCGCGCCAGATTTCTGCGGCGCGGGAATAAATTTCCGAATAAATCGCGGGAGCGGTCGGTAACGGGTTTAATTTGGGACGGGAGCGGGCTGTCTAGCAATATCACGGATATTGCTATGCGAATGAGAAAGAGAGAGTCTGCTTGGTGCTTGTGTGTGTGTGTTAGTGCGCACGCGCGCGTATGAGAGAGAGAGAGCGAGCGAGAGCGAGCTTTGTGTGCTTGGTGCTGTGTGTGTGTTTATACAGACAGCTTGGCTGTCTGGACTGTATAGCTGGGTGACTTTTGGTTGTGTTCTCCCCCGCTCTAGCGGGATCGGGCGCGGCGGGCAGAAAACGGAGCGGGTTCTCAGGCTAAAACCTGGCGGGTGCGGGCGGAAGCGGGAGCGTTGTCGTCCGGAGGTGTGTGTGTGTGTGTGTGTTTTTGTGTGTGTGTGGCAGCTAAAATCCACGCCTACACTATCGAGCGTGTATGAACTGTGATTACTTTTTATATTGCTGATTAGCTATTGGCCATTTCACTCTCTGACTGAAGGCAGTCGACCAATCGCAACAGGCTGTCATTGGTCCAATCAGCGCAGATTAGCTTCGCGCTAAGGAGGGGTTTGGGAACAAATGAATCACTGGACGATTCATACGGGAGTCGCTGGGATAATTAGGTAAAAATAAATGCAGATTATAAGACCATGAAAGTGTTTTTTGACCTTGCATGCATATTAGACTGTTGTTGGAGACCCTTACAACCAAGATATGACCCTATTTCATGTATAATATGGGCTCTTTAAACTCCCCCTTACAGTAATCTGTTGTGTTTTATCAACATCTACACCTACCACAACCTTAAATCTATCCCTAACAGTATCTTAATACTAACAGTAATCATGGCTAAACTCAGAATTGATTTTTGGCCCCCGTAGTAACAGATTTCCACATTTGAAGTGGATCAAAACCTTTTGATTAAAACCATCCTACAACAACACCTATTCTTTTTTTAGGACAATTCATCCACTTCAAACAATGATTACTATACACACATACATAATTCTCTCGAAAATAAGTACAATCATTCTTCAAATTTTAAAAACCTGCCAGGGACATACATATACATTTTTATAACTGTATGTTCTGAGAAGAAAAACTGAAGTGTAATTCAATAATTCAATACACTGTAAATAATAATAAAAAAAATCTTAAATTTTTGGGTTGAATCAAATTAACTTTTTTAGTCATTTCAACTTAAATCAATCAACCTGACTGAAGAGATTATATTAAACTTTGTATAGTAAAAACTATTTAATTAAAACCTGATTAACTTAATGAATTAGGTTAAAGTAACATGAAAATATTTGTTGTCATGACTTTTTGTCATATAGTGTTTTCTTAACTTTTCCACATGTAATTTAAACAAAAATCCAAAAATGGGCAAATAATTGCATCTGTGTGTTTTGTGTTCTGCTGCTTATAACACAGCGCCACATAGTGGACACAACCCTGCAGAACAACACAAAAATAAAACTACTCCAACAGAAGAATTTTTAATAATTAAAAAGAGTACAAAAAAAAATAAAAGTTTTTTATTCAAGACAACAAATATTAATATGTTGCTTTAACTTATTTTATTAAGTTCATCAGGTTTCAACTATTTTTAGTCAGTTTGATTACATTCATTAATTTTCTTGTCGGCTTAGTCCCTTTATTAATCCGGGGTCGCCACAACGAAATGAACCGCCAACTTATCCAGCAAGTTTTTACGCAGCGGATGCCCTTCCAGCCGCAACCCATCTCTGGGAAACATCCACACACACATTCACACACTACAGACAATTTAGCCTACCCAATTCACCTGTACCGCATGTCTTTGGACTGTGGGGAAAACCAAAGCACCCAGAGGAAACCCACGTGAAGGCATGGAGAACATCCAAACTCCTCACAGAAACACCAACTGAGCTGAGGTTCGACCCAGTGACCTTCTTGCTGTGAGGCAACAGCACTACCTACTGCGCCACTGCCTCGCCGATCAGTTTGATTACAATAAAAGTTAATTTAACTAAAACATAAATAAATAACTACTATAAATGAAACATAATAACTATTTTTCAAAATGTTATTGTAAAAGGATGGTTACTGCACACAATTATTTGGGCCGTTTGTGCATTCTTTAGGCCTACTTTAGGCCTTTATGAAAATTTACCATGTTTTAACCAATAAAATGTTGTAAAAAATGCTGGGATCCACACAATTCCTTCACGTCTCCCCAACGCAAATCGTTTAAGTTAACTTAATAGTTTTTACAAATGTAGGTAGATTGAACATAAGACAATCAAGAATTGTGTTGATTCAGCTCATTATAAATAGGTAGTTTGAACAAGCAGCAAAAATATTTGAGTGTAGAAAAGCCTGGTTGTTGTAGTTAAATTATGATAACCACCTAAATAAATGGCTACACTCCTTATAGCTTATATTATGATTTTTGTAGCAAAAGTGTGTGCTTTACAAATGTTAATCAATTGGATTTTGGATTTGCATAAACAATGTTTGTTCTCTGAAGAGAAAAAGTCTCATCCTTCCAACAATGTAGACCATCTAGAAACATCTGGTTTCCATATCTGAGAATCTCAGTAGGTCTGAGGTAGAACATTTAGCATTTATGTGCATTTGTGGAGAGGAATATTTAAATAAGGTGAAAAGACAACATACAACGTGTTAAAGAAAACCTTTTCTCGTTTTATTTATAAATATACCATTGACTCGGTAGCACACTGACAACTTCGAACTGTCAGACTTCAAAGAATGAATACTGAACCGTTACAGTTGATAAACCATGTTTAGGAGATTTCATACAGCTTACAAGTGGATCCTTATTTCCAAATGATTTTCATAATGTTAAAACAACACACTTCCACATTCATAAATACCATCAGCACCATGCAACACACAGAAACTAGAGTATAAATGGATGACTTAATTTCTGTTCTCTTTGTCTGTTCTAATTCAGTGATCAATTCCATTTAAATGAAAATAGTAATTTTTAAACACACACACACACGCACGCACACACGCACGCACGCACGCACACACACACACACACACACACACATATATATGAATTCAGAATTATTAGCCCTCCTTTGATTTTCTTTTTTTTATATATATATATTTCCCAAATGATGTTTAACAGTGCAAGGAAATTTTCACAGTATGTCTGATAATATTTTTTCTTTTGGAGAAAGTCTTTAGTTTTTTAAAAACAATTTAAGGTCAAAATTATTAGCCACGTTAAGCTTTTTTTAAATAGTCTACAGAACAAACCATCATTATACAATAGCTTGCCTAATTACCCTAACCTGCCTAGTTAACCTAATTAACCTAGTTAAGCCATTAAATCTCACTTTTAGCTGGTGTCTTGAAAAATATCTAGCCAAATATTATTTACTGTCAACACAAAAAAAGATACAATTTGAAATGAGTTATTAGAAATGAGTGTTTAAAAATCTCTGTTAAACAAAAATTGTGGGAAATAATAAATCAATTATTTATTGAGTCCATAAATAATTCAGGGGGCTAGTAATTCTGACTTCAACTGTATGTTCTGTGGTTTTCGAAGGCTGATCACTTTCTTGCTCTGTTAAACATGATTTTAGAAATATTTAAAAAAGAAAGATTCACAGGAGGGCTATTCATTTTGACTTGCAACGTATCTGGGCTTCTTACCCTTCATTTATTCATTCATTTTCCCTAGGCTTAGTCTCTGATTATAAGAGGTTGCCAGAGGGGAATGAACCGCCTCCAGAATGTGTTTAACACTACAGCCAGTTTTGTTTGGTCAATTCACCTGTACCGCATGTCTTTGAACTGTAGGGGAGTACTCAGAGGAAACCCACACCAACATAGGGGTGACACCAACATTCTCCACACAGAAATGCCAACTGGTCCAGCCACGGCTCAAACCTGCAACCTTCTTGCTGTGAGACGACAGTGCTAACCACTGAGCCACCGTATCACCCCTTTTTAAGATTTGAATGGTTTAACTTAATTTTGGTTTAATATTAGGTTTAATAATCTTGTAATTTACATGACCAAACCAGAAAAAGAATTAATTGAAAACTAATAAAAATGATGACAAAAGTCTATTGTATGAAAACAATTTCAGAGCATCAGAGCAGAGATTAAGGTCCTACACTGCAAAACGAAAATGTAAATAAATAGAAAATGAATAGCAAAACACAGCAAACTATTAAATAACAGATTTTACACAGAGCAGAAAATCAATGTATTCATTCTGAGTCACCATAGCGGGTATCTAGTGTGAACCAAAAGACCAAACTATATTTTGTATTGACTGATTAGTCTTTCTTCTAGTCGTCGGACCAGTTCTGCTAGTTCCTCCGTCTGACGGGACTTTTCCTCCAGGAGCTCAAAGCGTAAACTGGAGATGTCCTGCTTGATCTCCTTTAGTTCCCCTGCAAATCACAAAGACCTCGTGTGTACAACATCAACAACATTTATGGGTTTTGCCAAGCCACTGCTTTAAGATTTATGCAATTATTTCAGTGCTGATTTGTTGGATTTAAAACACAAAGTATTATGGGTTTGGAAAGACATGAGGATGAGTGAATAATATATTTTTCATTTAAAAAAAGTTCATTTAATTACATTTTTTTTAGCTTTTGCACTGCAAACAAAAACAAATGCTTTTCCTACTTTTCTTAATGGTACAGAAACAATGTCAAAATTAAAGGGCACCTATTTTACCCCTTTTTAAAGATTTCTTTTTAATATACTTTCATGTCCCCAGAATGTCTGCAAAGCTTCAGCTGAAAACACCCATCAGATTATTTATCATACCTTTCAAAATATTGGAATTTTTAGCTCTGACCACAGATTGTAGCTGTTTTGCTTTCCTGTGCCTTTAATGCAAATGAGCTAGTTCTCCCCACCCACCATTCCTATATGCCTGTCAGAGCCACAGAGATCGCTCCCTATGGCTCTGATGTGTGTCTCCATCTCCTGCTGCATCAGATAAACAGCACAGTGACAGACATGAAGGAAGCAGATCTCACATAATGTTTTTTTGAGAAATACTACAGTAAGAACTTCCTCAATAATTATTTGATGTATTTGTTGTGGAGTTAATTCAAGCCTTTCTGCAATGATAAGTCACACACAATGTCGGTACAATGTACTTGCACAGACACACACATACACGCTTAACTATGCACTGTTTTTGCATAGCAAATGTGACAGGATACACATTAATATCCACTGCTGTATCGACATCAGTTATGTTAATGTTCAAAATAACCCTGATTTAATGTCCACAAACCGGGATTCTTTTATAATTGTACTGACATGCGGCTATGGTGATGAATTACAATGATCTTTATTACAAACATGCACTGTTTTAAAAATGTTTTAAACTTGTAAAACTAATTTTTGAGGTGCAGATGATCACAGAGAGTTTTAACTTTTAATCCCAGTTGCTTTGCACACATCCTGTCTTGTTGATTACACATGTTACTATAAAGACATATTAATATGCGGCTGTCACCACACTCCATCGCGTTGTGGTGGGCCTCAAAATATGAGGGATTTGGGCCCTATTTTAACGTAAGGACATTTTAAAAAAGAGACTTTTTGTGTTTCACCCAAATATGACTGTGGACACACTATACCTACACACAGTTCTGTCAAAACAGCTTAAGAGAGATGATTTTCATCATAGGTGCCCTTTAAGTGAGTTTTTTTCTAAGCTTAATAATTTATATTTTTTCCAATTTTCATAAGTAATATAATAATCTGCCAATGGTATAAACAACAACAATATCGTTTTCACAAGATTACTTTTCTTACCCCATTGGAAGTTTATTAATCTTGTTTTATGTAAAAACTCACTTAGTTTTGATAAATTATTTCTGAAAACATGTCAATCTTTTTTGCTTGTCTAAAATTGCTTTAGGATTTAAGATTTTTTAGACATTTGCACTTGAAACAAGACAAAAACTCTAAGTAAGAATAAACTGTGTTAGTATAGAAACGTATAAACTGTGATGTGTTCACTTCAAAAGTAAATATTAACTGAGCAAGATTTTTTAAGAGTGTTTCCTATTTGATTTTTATTTCATCTCAGTCAATGCACTGCATGATGTTTTTTCTTATAGTTTTTGGCTTATTTTTAGTCCAAATATCAAAAAATTCCAGGAGCATTTTCTACACTGTAAAAACAAACCTGGTGGCCCTAAATTTTTAAGTTAAATCAAACTGGCCTTATGAGTCCATTGAACTTATGTTAAACTGACTTAAAACAGCTTGCGAAACTTATCAAATTAAGTTAAAACATGATTAACTTACAAGTTCACAATATTGGTTAAGTTACAATGACCTAAAAACATTTGCTGTCAGAACTAATTGATCATATAATTTTTTGCAGTGTAGATAAGCAGAAATTATTGTTTTGAGTTTCTCCTTAAAGCAAGCAAATATTACATTTTCTTAAAGGCAGATACTTTTGCTTGTTTTAATGAATATATATTTTGATCATATATAAAAAAAATAAAATAAAATAAATAAATAAATAAATATATATATATATATATATATGGACTAGAATCAAGACAAAACCTCTAAATAAGAATCATTTTCTGCAGTGTGATCAGTGTAAACATTGTGTAAATACAGTAAAATCTACGCTGTACCTTCATTAACCTCATCTCCTTCTTTATCGGTCTGTGCTTTGATCACATATCGTTTGATTAGCCGTTTCATGATCCTCTGAGGAAACAAAAAAAGGGCACCACATTTATTTTGACATTTGTGTTGATTTAAAAGGATGTCTAATAGTTTTATTCATTAAACAAATGATTTGTCAGCTTTATCATTTGCATAATGAAAAAGAAGTGTGCTTATCTGTAATATCAACATGCAGCACACTTCAAATATTAAATGAATTCATAAAAATGTACTGGCCGATAATCTAATACAACGTTTGTAACATATAGATAATTTTTTAATAATTTTATCTGCATTAAAGAAGTATATATATTTATAAACATACATTCAAAGTTAAAGTTATTAGCCCTCCTTTTAAATTTGATGCCAGTACATAATATTTCACAAGATATTTTTCAAGATACTAGTATTCCCCTTAAAGTGCAATTTAAAGGCCTAAATAGGTTATAGGCAGGTCATTGTATAACAGCGGTTTGTTCTTTATGTATACACAGCTGAAGTCAGAATTATTATTATTATTCTTTTTTAAATATTTAACAAATGATGTTTAACAGACCAAGGAAATTTTCGCAGTATGTCTGACAATACTTTTTCTTCAAGTGAAGGTCTTATTTGTTTTATTTCAGCTGAAATAAAAGCATTTTTTAATTTTTTAAGTGCCATTTTAAGGACAAAATTATTAGCCTCTTTAAGCTATATTTTTCTGATAGTCTACAGAACAAACCATCGTTATACAATGACTTGCTTAATTACCCTAACCTGCCTAGTTAACCTAATTAACCTAGTTAAGTCTTTAAATGTCCCTTTACGCTGTATAGAAGTGTCTTGAAAACTATCTAGTCAAATATTATTTACTGTCATCATGGCAAAGATAAAATAAATCAGTTATTAGAAATGAGTTATAAAAACTATTATGATTAAAAATGAAATTTTTGATTGAAAATGTGTTGAAAACATCTTCTCTTCATTAAACATATTACATATATTGCTTAAGGGGGCTAAAAATATTGAAAATGGTAAATTATTACCATAAATACCAAAAATAGTAACTTAAAATGCAACAAAAAAAAAACTATTTTTATTCTAGCCAAAATAAAACAAATAAGACTTTCTCCAGATGAATATAATAGGAAATACATTCCTTTCTCCACTGAACATCATTTGGGAAATATTTGTTTTTTTCCTTTAACTGTATGTGTATATTAAGATCTTAAAAGCACACATAAACTGTAATACATCATTTAATATCGAAGGTAAAGTTAATCAAATGTGTGTAATACCTGATAACGACTTGTGTGAGGTGAATTCTTCTCACTGGACTCTTTTTGTTTTCCAGACTGGAAGAAAAAACATATTTCAAAGTCAGAATTCAACCAAAAGCATTTGGTTTATTCAACCAATTAAAAGCTATTTAGTTACACTTTATTTCACGGTGTCCTTGATATAATGTAACTTGATACAGTGTCAACCTCAAGCGGTTCCTTTATAAGTTTTTCATAACTTAAGAAGATATTTTGAAGAAAGCTGAAAACAAGTACTATAAAAGTCAATGGTTTCCAGCTTTCTTCAAAATATCTCATTCTGTGTTCAACACAAGAAACAAAGTAAAACTGGTTTGGAAGAAGTTAAGGGTAGGTTAATGACAGAATTTTCAGTTTTAGGTGAACAATCTCTTTAAATATACTATACTTACTATATGGTTAGGGTTATGTGTTAGCATAAGGCTTAGTTGCATGTAGTTATTATGCATAATTACTATAGTGTACAAAACTGGTATAACAAAGACAGCTTAACAAATAAGGTGTAACCGGCTATCCTTGTTGTCTGACCACAAGAGGGCACCAAATACTAATAAAACAATATATACGTAGGACATGCACAAACAGACCATTTTTAGGTAAATCAAAAACACTCTTATACATCAGATACGTTTTGATGAATTTCTGAATTCTGAAGTATACAAACTTGATCCTGAAGGGTCAGTGTTCTCCAAACTTTAAGGCCGATCAGCTTTAACACACTTGCCTAAAGCCTCACCTCGTTGAGCTCTGTGTCCTCCTTTAGGTCCTCTTTGTGTCTGTGAAGAGGAATCAGCAGTAGGCGTTTGAGTCTCATAGCCAGGCTGATGACTGATTTAGGGCTGGGGATGAGGTTAAACGGCACAGGGAGAGTCCCTCCTTCCTCAAAGTATGAGAACCACAGCTTCGCCCTGGCAAACTTCCACTCCACATCTGCATCATCCTATTAGAAAGATATATTATATTGTTTCAGTGAAAATGCCACACTATTGTTTGTCATAATAATATCAGTTTATTTTTAAATTGTATTGCTTTTGTTTCCATTGAAATATTTTCTAAGCCAGAAACAAATAACTATCTGAATGTATCCATAATTAACAAAGCATTTTCTGTAAAATGCTAACCACAAATTAAACTGTAAAGGTAACCTGTAAAGGTTCTGTAAAGGTAACCACAAATTAAACAGGGTTTTTCTCCACAAACCATAGATAATTGATGGCATTTGGAGCGAATAGTACTACAAATAGTAATCAATAAATACAAAAAAAAAATGTTTGTCACAATTTTAGTTCAATAAAACCATTGTTAACCTTCATAAGGGTATGCTAGAACATTCTTTTGCCATGCTAAAGTGTAGCCTTATAGCAACATATTAGAATGTTTTGGCAACAAGCTAAAACATGCTTGAGTCATGTTAATGTATGTTTGAAACAGGTGGAACGTGCTAGCAACATGCTAACATGTAAACAATCTGCAAAAACATGCTAGTAACACATTAAAACACGAATGTTGCCTTGTTAGGAACAGGCTGGAACATGCTAGCATGCACACAATCTGCAAAACACATAGTTACACATTAAAACACAATCGTTGCCTTAACAGATTAACATTAACTTTTAAACTTAAAACCTTCAAACTAAAAATTGAATTGCCCAGGCTTTGCAAGACTAAATCTAGTTTTTATTGCTTTATCTTTTTTGTTTTGGTAAGTAGCTTGGGCTAAAAGCAATCTGCTAAATGTATAAATGTGTGAATGGCCCTAATAAATATGTGATCATTATAGCATATTACATCAGTTAATAAGCATTTATAAAGACAAACACAGCACAAATATATTTTAAGCAAACTTATAAATTATATTAAATAAAATAGCAACAAGCTAGAATGTTTTGGCAACAAGTTAACATGATTGCATTATGTTAATATTATGTTAGGAACATGCTGGAACATGCTAGCAATTTGCTAATAGGCTATGTAAACAATCTGCAAACAACATGCTAGCAACACATTAAAACACGAATGTTGCCTAAATTTTAGCTTTTAAACGTAAAAACCTTGCTGTAGCTCCTCTGTATTGCTAAGTAGCTTGAGCTAAAAGCATCTACTAAAATGTGGGAATTAGCTAAATAAATTTGTGAACATTGTGGCATAATACATCAATTAAGTAGCATTACAGACAAACACAGCAAAAATACATTTTAAGCATATCTAAATAACTTAATTAAAACAAGCTAAAACATGCTTGCATGATGTTAATGTATGTTAGGAACATGCTAGAAACATGCTAATATGTAAACAATCTGCAAAAAGCATGCTAGTAACACATTAAAACATGAACGTTGCCTTAACAGACTTACATTTGTAGCTTTTTAAAAGTATTTTTGGTAAGTAGCTTGGGTTAAAAGCATCTGCTAAATGCATAAATGTGTGAATTACCAGCCTGATCTCATGAGGAAACGTAACGTAGAAGTTCAGTACGATTTTAAATAAGAGGCGTGGCACCCAACCCCACCGCTAAACCCAGCTGTCACTAGGGATACGCAAATCACACAAAAGTGTACAAATGAGATCGTCTAATTTCATATGAATTAGCCACTAAATCAAAAGTTACAAATTACAGTGAGATTGTGGTGGAATTACCCAAATAAATATGTGAACATTATAGCATAATACAGCAATTAAGTAGCACTAATACAGACAAACACAGCACAAATACGTTATAAGCAAACTATTTATTGCAAATAGATTAAAATACTGAGTTGAAATGATACAACAACACATTTTAGAGACCAAAAATGATCAAGCTAGGTGTTTTTGAAAACTTTACTGAGAGACAGAGCTTCCCCATGTGACAACTAGTCCAGCCTGTAGCTATTTCATAGAATTTCATTGAAATAAAGGTTCTAAAACAACATTTTGTTTCTCTCACTGTAACCAAACCAATATCTAAGACAGGGCTATTCAATTGCCTATTCAATTGATAACCCTGAAATCATGATTATTCTCCAGACCATATAATCGCACAACCAAAATCTATTATGTTGCATCACTAATTGTTATGCTGTTCAAAACATAACATATGAGTGTGTCTGAATGTAGAAGAAGCCTACTTCAGCAATGCACTGCTTTTGTTGTGCGAAATACAACATTTTGACTGTTTGTTGTTTTAAAATACAATATATTAACATTTTAATTTAGAAAAAGCCAGCGTGGGTGTCTTTATGAGCACAAATACAGCATATGGGCTCTTATATGTAGTTGTGTTATCACTCATATAGCAAGTCATATCTCTCCGGCCCTTCGTTTGGGATGCTTTTCATGAACCGGCCCCCAAGACAAACTAATGAAATAGCCCTGGTTTAGGATGACAAAAATGTGGATAACAAACTTATTTGTTGTTTTATTAAAAGTATGTATGTACTAAATAATATAACTGGAGTTTGTTATTTTTGTAAATGCCCTGATAAACAGTAAAGGGCAGTGCAGTGTGTTGACATTTTAGCAATGGTCAGATAATAAGATCCCCAGATGGCAATAAATTTCACCAAATGCACCCAAAAATAGCCTCCTGTTTCCTGTTACCTCATCAGACCTCTCTGCCGCAATTAATCTTGGGTTTTGTAGGATTAATAATGACTTTTTTCATTTGCAGCACCAACTATATTTCTTGTCCATATTTTATTCAATGCGTGACCATTTGATTTCACTGTTGGATGCTACTGTAATACATTATGAAGGTCCAGTTTTGACAACTGTGTACACAAAAAGGCTGTAATTTATAAATCCAATGATAATCGATTTCTACTGTAACCAGAGAAGACTTTGCATTGCATTTAACAAATGTTAGAGTACAATAAAGAACCTGTAACTCATCTGAAAAGGAATACGAATGGGAAATGATGGGGTCTGGACATTTACTCCTGGCCTGCCTCTACTATACAATCCAAATGTCTGGTCGTTTTACAGATCTCATTTCAGAATGTGATTACCTCAATTTCCTGAAATGAGTTGTTGATCATAGCGATGAGCATGTTGAGTAAGACGATAACCATGGTAACGTTGTAGACTCCATAAAGAACGTAGCCAATATTCTCGATGAATTTGTGCCCGTTGTTGATGACGACAGACTTGACCTCGGAAAGTCCAAAAATAGCCCAGAATAAAGTTTTGAAGCTCTCCTCAACACTGGAGAAGAAGAAAAAACATAAAAATATTTCATTCATCAGCGCCAGTTAAAATAGCATTATAAAGATCTGCTGTGGTTATTAACTTGATCTAATTCCTTATTCCTTTTGGTCCCATTATACACTTACCGGCCAGTTTATTAGGTACACCTATCCAACTGCTTGTTACTGCCTAACACGATGTCTAATCAGCCAATCACATGGCAGCAACTCAATGCCTTTAGGTACGTAAACATGGTCAAGATGATCTGCTGCAATTCAAACCGAGCATCAGAATGGGGAAGAAAGGTGATTTAAGGAACTTTTAACAAGGCATGGTTGTTGGTGCCAGACGGGGTGGTCTGAGTATCTCTAGGGTTTACAGAAAATGGTCAGAAAAAAAGAAAATATCCAGTGAGCGGCAGTGCTGTAGGCGCAAATGCTTGGTTGAAGCCAGAGGTCAGAGGAGCATGGCCAGACTGGTGCATGATGACAGAAAGGCAACAGTAACTCAAATAACCACACAACAGAGGTGTGCAGAAGAGCATCTCTGAATGCATCGAACACGTCGAACCTTCGGTGTTTCGGAATTTACTTTCGCTATTTTAAGGATGGAAAAATACGGTCTGCGCCCTGGCACATGGACTAATATGGTTTTGCTTATTCTCTTAATGGGTTATGAGTGTGTTTTGAGTCTCATCTCCCATTCCCTTTAAAAGTCAGTTGCGTCACGCCATTGGCACATTTTCTACTTACATGGTGGAAAAACTAAACACTACACTAGTGAGAAAACAGTTCAACATACTGTCTGCGCAAATATAAAGAACAAGCCTCTTCCACTTTCTCCACTTTCGGCCTCTTTACTTTCTCTTTACTTTACTTTTACTCTTCACTCCTTTACTTTGGTGGATGAGGAAACGGTGTTGTACGCACTCCACTGAAGACATCCATTAGCCTATATATTAAATTTAATTTGTTTAAGCACAAAGATTTGTTTCAAAACTATTTCTAAATTCAGTTCTAATTTCCAGCAAACAAATAAATGAACAATAATAGTGAAGTGTGGTCAAACAACGAGTTATATCAAACACTAATGCCCCATATGATGATGCATACATCTCCAAAACCTGACAGGTGGACAAATCTAAACTTGTTTTTATTAAAACAAATATAAACATGCATATAATACATAATACTGCTAATAATTATTGTACTAATCCAAATTGTCATGAATGAACTGAATATATACTATGCCTATAATAGCCTATGGTTAGGCACTTTGACACATAATGGAGAAGTGTTCATGGAGATCTGCGTTTGATTCCCATCTTGTCATCCTTTGCCAGTCCCAATCTTTTCTCTTATTTAACCCATTGTTTCTGTCAACTCTCCACTGTCCTTTTACCAAAATCATGAAAAAAGCCCAAAAAAGACAACATTATTTGTCTCTTGTAATTTAATAAATTAAATAATGTTTCGACAGAAATACTCATAGGGCGACATGGTGGCGCAGTAGGTAGTGCTGTTGCCTCACAGCAAGAAGGTTGCTGGTTCAAGCCTCGGCTGGGTCAGTTTGCATTTCTGTGTGGAGTTTGCATGTTCTCCCCGCATACGTGTGGGTTTCCTCTGGGTGCTCCGATTTCCCCCACAGTTCAAAGACATGTAGTACAGTTGAATTGAGTAAGCTAAATTGTAAGTAGTGTATGAGTGTGAATGTGTGTGTATGGATGTTTCCCAGAGATGGGTTGCAACTGGAAGGGTATCCGCTGCGTAAAAACATATGCTGGATAAGTTGGTGGTTCATTCCGCTGTGGTGACCCCGGGTTATTAAGGGGACTAAGCCGAAATGAAAATGAATGAATGAATGAATGAATAAAATACTCATATTGCATAGTTTGCTAGCAGGATATCAAATATTAGTCAAGAACTGATCACAAATCTGTAAAATCCTTTTACATTCATGTTGGACAGTCATGTCAGTGGTAAACTGGGTTAAAACATGAAGTAACTGAACCACTGAACGTGGTTTATGGCAACCAAATGTATGGCATTTACTTTACAACAAATCAATGTTGATGTCATTTTCATATGAAGGTAAATCAGTTGCGTAACTCGAGAGCTTGCAAATGTAAATGTGAGCACTTGTGATAATAATATTTGTATGTGTAGGTTGAAATGTACACTTACAGCTCTGATGTGAACAGCTGCATCCCTCGATTTGCACACACACACAACAATCCACACACTTGTGTTTTAAATTGGAAGTTGCAGATTAATAGTTGTGTATTTGTAAAATGTCATTTACAAATACAAAATGACAGACACACGTCTGCACGGCAAATTTGATTGCATCTTATCTCTACAACCACAGGTCGGCACTCACAACCTCTCAGTTTCGTCAGTACAACTACAAATCTCCCGCGCTCTGACTTTTGCTACACATCTCCCGCGATCTCTGTAGCAGAACTCATCTGTGCACTTGCAATTGCAGAGGCGTGAGCAGCGCGGGGCGGGGGAGGGGCGGGGCAGGTGTAAAGCTGTTTGATTGGCTGATGCCTGACCAATGAACAATGCCAGCAGCCAACAGGACTGAGGTGCAAAATAATCATTTCCCACGATTATTTTATTATTTAGGGTTTATTTAAACTCTTTTCTGAAGAGATTCTTGTTAAAAATCATAAATTCTGTGGAAATGTACATACCAGTAAAAGAGCAGCAAAGCCAGTTTATTGGCTAGAGCCAGCCAATGAGATGGGGCGTTTCTGTTTGTCAGGACACAGGGCAGCTCACGTTGTTGGAGGCCTCGAGCAATCAGAGGGTAAGTTATGATTTTTAATAATTATCTATATGTTCAATACTGTTAGCTAAGCTAAGGACTGTGCTGGGTGCTTCTCTTGTTTGTTTCTTATATAAGAAAACAGTTATGAGTTATCTAGGAGCTGCTTTCAATCATGTTATATGGTTCTAAAGATACGATTCAACCCACATGAAATAAGAAGTTGTAATAGTATTTATAGTAAATAATAGTACGTTTTTGAACCATACTAACTATAGTAAACTGTATTATACAGTATATATTGCAGTATCTACAACTTTGTTAATGAATGCAACAGCACACTGTAGTATTAACTAGCATGAACTTGTTGTAAAAAAATAAATGAATGAGTGAAAAAGAGAATAGAGAACCCAGTCCAGGAGACTCGAAACAAGCAGAATTCCTTTATTGAGACGTGTTGGTTAATCTGCAGTCATACAGCGTCTTTAAAGTGTCCAATGTGTCTGCAAGAGCCTACTAGAGGTCCGCAGTCTGCAAGTTCTTTCACAAGTCTCACACAAGTCTGCAAATTAGTCTGAAACTAAGACAAAGATGTCCTGTCTATATTGTCCTGTTAGGAGGAGGGGGCATAGCTAAACAAAGTATGCAAATCAAGAGTTGTGGTCGGCAGGGTAAACTGCTTCTCAGGTCTAATCTCATCATGTTCTGGAGACAGAAACCTCCTGACCATTTGATTGAAAAGAGTAAACAATAGACACCCCATGCTGTGAAACTGACAATTTGCATTACTTTGGCTTAGCCTGTAATCAAAAGACAAAAGGTTAATGTCCCTCCTAGCTGGAATGTTAATGAAATGATATAATTAAAAACCAGAGAATATAACTTTTCAGTTATACGTAGATTATTGTTAATTTGAAATTAGATGATAAAAATTTATATTTCCACAGTTCCCCCTTTGAGAGTTATTTAAAAACTCTCACAAAAAAATATAAATTTGTAAGCTTTCATAAAACCATTCAATGGCTTCTGTTTGATAACAGAAGCCCCATCTTCTAGTCATGTAACTTGAAAAAAGTTACAGGCACATTTAACTTATTCTGTGTCATTTCAATATCTACGTAGATGTAAGTGTAGATTTCTAAAACTGTTCACACGTTTATGACAATCAGTTGTAATGTCATAAAATCCTACATGATGACACAAAAATCATGTAGTTAAACTGCAGATCTTCTGAAAGTCCATGGCTTGTGAATAGTGTTCAGTCTTTTGTGAGGTGTTTCTAGTGGTTCTTCTCCAGCACAGAGTTGATCTGATGACTTCCTGTCATTCATGGATCTTCGTAGTGATGCTCTAGATCAGTGTTTCTTGAGAAGATGCAGTGTTTATGGGTTAACCTGCACACAAGAAAACAGGGAAAACAGCAGACCAGCAGTATTCATGCATAGACTTGTATGATCATAGTTCGTGTGTCTAGTTATTCAGGTGATCGTATAGTGGTGTTAAGTTGGTGATCGTATAGTGTTGTGTATTTTCTGTCTCCTAATCTTAAAGTTATGACACCTATAAAACAGTGAGGTGAGGATGGGGGAGAAAAACAAAAAAGAAAAGGGAGTCTTCACCACAGGGTGCGGCCCCTGAAGCCTGTTGCTTTCAGTTCTGCCCTGGGCTCCTCACTGGTTTGTGTGTCCTGTTCTGTCCCTGAGTGTGGTGGGCAAACTTTTAAAATGTGAGACACAAACTATCATTCAATAAATATCAGTCCTATCAGACATCATAACATTGAATGGGTAGTGATTGAAAATATGTGTTAAAACACATTCAAGGCTGTAAGTGGACTTAAGCAGAGTTCCCTAATACAAAGGAAGAAGTTTCCTTTGTGTCTTTTTACAAAGAGTCTTTCATCTTAATTGTAAATGAACTGGGACATTAAGCACTTACAGCCAAAAAATGGTTAGCATCTTTGTGGACAGCTCAATGGATTTAGTGATGAGGGGAGAGGTATGTTGAGGGCATTTAGCAAACTGTTCAGAAGTTGATTTACCCTGTTCATCTCTTTAAAGTTCTTTTTATTCTTTCTACACTCTCTCATCCAATGTCCTTTTTTTCCACAGTAATGACAACAGATATTTTTCCTAAGACATTTGTGATTTGATGTCTTTTCTGTGTTGACCTTAGTGGCAGCTGCTTCAAATCTGACTCTGTCTTTGATGTAAGAGTCTCTTTCCCACAAAGCTAAACTGTTCATA